GTTTAACCAATTCCCAATTAAGGTTATTTATGATGGATTCAATTTCATTATTAATCGCAAAAAAGGAGCTTCGAGAGTGGACATCGCTTCGTTAAACGTCATTGGATCATTTTCTAGTAGATATGTTAGAAAATCTGGACCAAAGGTCTTATGAATCCTTTGACTTTTACTGTGTCTTGGTTCTTCATCTACTTGATGATTATTATCTTCTTGATAGTTTCCATTTGCAGTATCGTAAACTTGTTTGTGTGAGTTTACTTCTTTCTCTTTACAAGAAAATATATTTTCAAAGAAAGCAACATTTCTTGATTCAATGATAGTACCTATATATACATCAAGTATTTCAGATTTATAAACCAAAAATCGATATGCACTACTATTATTTGCATATCCGATAAAGTCACAATCTATTGTTTTAGCTCTATTCTTTACTTGTTTAGGTTTAGGTATATGTACCTTTGCTAAACACCCCCACACCTTAAGATACTAGTAGGAAGGTTTCCGACCTTTCCATAACTCATAAGATGATTCAACCTTACTCTTATTTAATATTTTATTAAGGATATGATTGGTTGAAAACATAGCTTTCCCCACAAGTTTTGAGGTAAGTCTGAATTAATCAACATTGCAATCATTATTTCCTTAAGTGTTCGATTTTTGCGTTCAACAACATCGTTAGATTGAGGTGAGTGTGGTACTGTAGTTTGATGGATAATTCCAGATTTGAATAAATTTTTTCAAACGGTGCGACATATTCTCCACATCGATCACTATGAAATGCCTTTATTATTTTTCCAAGCTAATTTTCAATTTCAGTTTTATAGTGCTTAAACACTTCCAAAGCTCTATCTTTACTTTTCACCAAGTATACATAGCAGTATCTTGTGCAATCATATATGAACGTGATGAAATACTTTTTACAACATTTTGTTTGGACATGCTTTAAATCACATATATATGTGTGAATAAGTTACAAATGTGTTGTGCTTCGGTCAACCAAATGAAATGACATTTTGGCTAACTTACCATCTACACAAATTTCGTATTTTCCATTGGTATTAAAATTTATACTTGGTAGTAATCTTAAATTCATTAATTTGCGTATAGAACTAAAGTTTACATATCCTAATTTATGATGCCATAAATTAGACAACTCAAGAATATAAGCAGAAGAAGATATTTTAGTTTTTGAGTTATTCAGTACAATGATAAAGACATTCATCTTGAATAGTCCATCTTCTATATAGTCTTTGCTTACATACAAATTATTCTTGGTAAGTTTAAACTTATCAGATACAAAGACTAATTTAAAATCATTTTTGCTTAACAAAGATCTCGATATCAAGTTCCTACGAATATCCGGCACATGAAGAACGTTGTTAATGCTAAATTCCTTGCCCGATATCATCTCCAAAATTACCTTGCCTCGCCCTTTCACTTTTGAACTTGAATAAATTTTCATGAACAATTTCTTACCATCGGTTGTAGTGTAGGATGAGAACATGTCTTTGTGGGCACAAATATGATGGGTAGCACCCGTATCCACCTACCATTCCATAAGATTTCCAACATTGTTGAATTCTGAAGTAACGGCTGACAAATTTATATTTGATATACCATTAGATTCGGTAATTTAGCTTGGACTTTCTTTTTAGGTTTACGACAATCAACAGAGCAATGTTCAGCTTTTGCACAATTATAGCAATTGCCCTTGAATTTTTTTGCATTCTTTTCTAAGGGTTCGACGAAATGCTTTATTTTATTTCTCTTGTTATTTGATTCCACCTCATTAGCCTTAGCTTATGGTATATGACTCCCAACACACTTGTCTGAATTCAAGTTATCCTTTTTTCAATTCTTAATCGGACAATGAGTTATTCAATATTCATCTCATTGCGCTTATACGTGAGATAGTTCTTAAAGTCCTTCCACATGGGTGAAAGTTTCTCGATAATTGCAGTAACTTGAAATGATTCACTTAGAAACATATTTTTGACGTGAATGTCATGGAGAATAACTTGTAATTCTTGTACTTGACTCATGACCATATTTGAATATACTATTTTGTAGTCCAAGAATTTTTCCATAATGAATTTCTTAGTCCTAGCATCTTCGGTCTTATTTTTCTTCTTCAAAGATTTCCATAGTTCCTTTGCAGATTTCATGGAACTATATTGTATAATGTGTTGTCTATACCATTCAGTATGTAGTTTTGCATAAGAAGTTTGAATGTTTCCAAACATCTAATGCTATCAATGATACCCTATTATTTTCCTATTCTTGTACGGCGAGAGTATCTTCATTCAAGAACTTTAGAGTTGTGAGATAGAGCAATATTTTTTATTGCCATCTCTTGAACTCAACCTACAGAAATTTTCCAAATTTTCTCCATGTGGAACTTTATTTGTATGAACGGTGGGAGTGGCAACCTCAATCAAAGGAATCACAACGGTATGAACCAAGTTAGGTAAAACTTCTTCCAAAATTCTTATATTCGAAATATCATTCGAAGAGGTATCAGTTTGTTAATCATATTCATTTCTGTTTACACAAAACAAAAGATAAACCAAAAATCAAAATCCGAGAAGGAGTTGTAGAAATTAAATCGAAGCAAAATCAGTTTAACCGAATACAACTAAAGAATAAAGTTATCACTCAAACAAAAATCGACATAAGATTGTTTATAAGATAATGGATTTAAGTGATGACTTTAAACCAAAAATAAACTTACCAACCTTACCAAAAATTGAACATAGTAAGGACAATGAAAAAAGTAATAAACACCAAAGAAAAAGAATGTCAAAATAACGCCAAGTGAAATGGATGCAAATTCAAGACAAGAATTTAACTCTTTGTCCTTAAGTCAATTTTGTCCCATAACAGTGTTTACGGATAATGGCAATCAACTTCTAAGATACAACGACTATCTCATTGTGTTTTTAGTACTCCAAAACACAAGAACAACGAACCGAAAACTGGTTTTTGTACTTCTTCTAGAATGAAATGGAAACCAGATTTTTATGCAGAGTTTTGGTTAGGAAAATATGAATTTAATATTATGCAATGATTTCATATCATTAGGATGATGAAATGGACATCTCAAGGATTTTATTTATAGAGGAGGAAAAGTTGTGAGTGAAGTATCATGCTCCAAACTCAGCAACCTTTGCCAAGAGTAGCAACTTTTCCTATCGGTAGCTTGTCGCCCTTGTGTCTCTCGAGTATCAGAAACAGAGATTCTGTCGCTCGATTATCGCTTGAGCGACAGCCTCACCGTTTGAGCGGTAGGCGAGCGGTCGAGATAGATAAACACCCAGCCAGTTTCCTCCCTTTTTCCTAGAAATTTTGACCGCAAATTCTCATTCATCAAGAATTGATTTTGATATTCCAAATATATCATGACGATTTAGTCGACAAGTAGAACAAGTTATTCTATTTATTTTCATAATTTGACTATTGGATCAAATCCAAATATTTGGTCGAAGTGACACGAATTCCATGATTCAATACTTAACTAATTTCTACACTTGTAATAACAACCTTTTACTAACGACTAGTTGGTCATGTTTAGAATTATTAGCCATACTTATAAAATGTTTGATGATAAATCTAATGTACAAAATTGCATAAAATATCTCGTCAATTACATATGAACTTGATGATCAATCTATAAGAATTTTGTCTACTCTTAACAAAATTGATGATATCTAAGAATTTTATGTACTCTTGTTAACAAGATTGACAATTTAAGATCGAATCCTAAGACTTAATCCCTGTTTGAAACCGATTAAAATTCAAATTTTAATAAAAATCAAAGTCAACAATCAATTTTAATCACATATTTCATGGGTCTCACAATTTTTCAACAATATATTTTGTCAACATTTATCAAAATCTACTAAAAATCTGATTTTAATTCCTACCAAATATGGGGCTTAATATATTTTTAAAACCCTAAAACTAAATATTTTATCAAAGTTCAAAAAGTCTAAACGACTAATTCCTTATGTCTAAAAATGAAAAAAGAAGTAAAATTTTAAGATTGATATTTTCAACATGCTGCCATCTCACTATACAAAAAAAAANATTAATACAAATAAGGGTAATAAGAAAAATGTTGGGAAGTACCCATATTTTCAAATCCAATGATAAAATGAATTCAATGTCATTATTGACATGAAGAAATGATTCAAAAAAATTGAGATGGAAAGTAGCCCTAATATCGAAAATTTACAATACCTTCTCTTTTTCTCCAAATGCCCAACAAGAATATTGTAAGATTTGATTATTGACTTCAACCAAATGAGTGTTCAAGTGAATGAAAATGTAGATTTTATGATTTCATTAAGTAGAGAAATAGATGATGATGATGATGATGATGATGATGAAATTAGAAGTCAAAACATTTTTCTACATCATGTTGAATAAAAAAATAATAATAATAATTGTTCATAATTCAAAAATCAAGAATTAGCACTACAAAGGGACTTGAGCTCATTATAAACAATTGTACTCCATAAGTAAGGGCAGTTGAGTGGAGATATGGGATACCATCAAAGTTTCTGCCTTCACTATTGTAATTATAACTGTTGAAAATTGGTGAATTAAATGTACATGCTCGATTAAGTATTAAAAAAATTACTTACAAGTAAATTTTAAAATTAATAAACTGTTTGTTAGTCTAATTTAAAAAAATATTTGGTTGCTTATCTTTAAAATATATAATACCTTACTCCATATCCATTCTTGCCGTTCAAACTAAGAACTGAAGAGATATATATAAACAATTGCCCAGTCAATGCATGCTAGGTAGAGAAGAGAACTTGTGGCATTTGTTCTCTAACCAAACTAATCAGACATTTCAAAGAAAGTCTCAAAATCAATAAACAATGCCTAAAGCTTCAATTAATGAATCTGAATGAATAACGTATTCTTATAATATTTGCCACTTGAAGAATCAAGCCAGAAATTTAACCAAAACTGAATTAAGAAAAAAAAAATCAATATGAAGAGAAATCTGGTGATGACTTCATAGCTTTTCTTCTGTCCATGAAATTATGTATTCTTGTGAGTGCAACTTGTAGTGTCTGCTCACTCATATTCGCGAAGCAAACTCGAAACCAGCCAGGGTCGGAACAATGGCAAGAAGATCCTGGAGATATATTTAACTTCACTTCATGCAGCATTGATTTCCATAAAGTTAATTCACTTTCCTTTGTAGGCTCCTCCAGTAATGGACTTAAATTCATCCAGCAAAATAATCCTGCATTTCCCTTCAAACACTCGATCCCGGAATTTTTCAATCCATCAATAATCATTTGGTGCCTTTTCTTGAGTCTTTCACGATTCGTCTTTATGTAATTTTCTGTAAATGTTCTGTCGGAAAGCATTGAAGCCAAAAGCTGCTGTGTTTGAGAAGATATCAAAGTGAAACTTGACATTCTTCTTGCAGTTGTAACGACTTTATCATTGTATGAATATATGGTCCCAACCCTAAACCCCGGAAGGCCTAAATCTTTCGATAGGCTATAAACAATGTGAACTCTATCGGATTCTTTGTAATCCCGGGCTTCAAGGACTTCTGCAACGCTTACAAATTCTTCACCAGAAAATGTTGATCCCGAATAGATTTCATCCGAAACAAGATGAATGTTTTTACGTGTAACGAATTCAAGAATCTCTTCGAGGGTGGATCGTTTAATGGTTGCTCCCAGTGGATTCGATGGGTTCGTTATGAGAACTCCTTTAACTTTGATGTTATGCGATTCAGCTTCATTATATGCTGCATCTAAAGCTTGAGGAGTGATCTCAAAATTATTTGAACTATCACAATGAACTGGAACTATCTTAACACCTGTTCTCCACCTTAAGTCTCTGTCAAACCTGTGAATCATAATTATTTAGTCCTTTGAACATAAAATTATTGTCAAGATTATGTAATATTCCTGATTATCATATATCTGTGAGTACTTAGATTCTTACCCTGGGTAGTATGGAGTAGGAATAAGCAAGGCATCTCCAGGATCAGCTAGAATGAAAGTCAATAGCTCATTAGCTGCGGTTGCGCCGGCTGTTATAACAATTCTATCAGGATTGAATTTTGCTCTTCCTCCTCTTATTTGTTCCATAAAGCTTGCCATTGCCTAGATAATTTCACAAGGGGTGCATAAGTTCATGCAAAATCCATTCGTGCACACGCTCGACTGGATAGTATTTGATAGTACTAGATAGTATTCGATAGTACGTACAAGTATTGGATAAAATTTTTTACCTTTCTGAAAGATTGAAGTCCATGATAATCTTGAAATAAAGCGTTATCTCTAAAGCCAGAAGTTCTATTTCCCCAGTTTGTTGCTTCTGAATGTTTTTCCAAGTACTGTTCCAGCAAATCAAATGAAACCTGTGCAAGGAATATCCAAAAAAGTTAGAAAAAAATCCCGATTTTTTTTTTCCCTACATGAAATGACCCTCTAAACTTACTTGATTTTCTGCAAGTCCCATCTGAATAACTCCAGAAGAATTCCATAATTCATCATAAGGGTTTTCATCATATGCCTTCCACCCTGCAAAATATGGTGAATATTCTCCATGTGTATCTGAAACTGCAACTTTTGACAAACCCACAGCAGGTTTTTCAATCTCAATTGCCATAATCACAGTGTAACTCTGCAAGTTCCTTTCGAAAAGAGCTGCTTGTGTATAAGAATAAGAGCAAAAATGTTCTTGAACTCTAAGAGCAGAAATGTTCTTGAATTGATTATGAATTTTTTTGGGGAAATGAAGAGACCTTATATAGTATAAAGAAGGGGCCCTCAAAGATGATAATATTCTTACAAAAAATGGGCAAGCGAACCAATTATTGATTCTGTAGACTAAGCAAGATCAAAACTTCTCTATTCCAAAAAAAAAATAAAATATATATATAGTTTTTATTCACTGGCGACAACTGTTGGCTTCTGTCATCATTTCAAGCTTCCCAGCTATATCTCACAATCTCCACCAGATCCACAGCAAATACGGTGGTTGAGTGGGGAGCAAATTAACTAGTGCATTTTTTCTGAGAAAATACTTGTAACTACTTAATTTGTCCATGGTTGACAAATAGAAAAACTGACGAAAGCAAATAATAATGTGATTAGAGTAAGGAGATACCAGATATGGGATCATGTAAAATTATGGTTTTTATTTTTTTTTTTCCTTTTCACCGGAATATATTCTCTGCCTTCCTTCCTTCAAAGAAGACAAAAAAAATTAAACTAGGGGTCTTTAATCTTTCGAAAGAGAGCATTTAAGTCCCCACATTTCATTTGTAGTATTTCGATCAACTAACTTTCTAGTCACAACTGAAGTTCCATATAAAAATAGGCGAAATAGGCGATTTTTAGGAGAAAAGTCCTACATCAGGGAGTCTTCTCCAACCAATTGTAAGGTTGAGAATAAGGATTTCACGATTCCGACGGGAAAGAGCATATTTGCGACCACATTATGTGCATTAATAGCACTGCAATATGCTATTCTCAATAAGTTCGTTAAAAGATGGACCCAACAAAAAATTTCAAACACCGTATGAGCTTTCGTTTGCATGAAACAAATTACGCACATAAGTGCTTGAATTACACAAGGTTGGTTTTTTAAGATGGACCATCAAGTCTCGATATTAAAACTTATTAAGCTCAAATGAGTGATTCTATACAATTAAGACTCAAACAAACACACAGATTAAAAGATTGGTACTCTCAAAAAATGAGTCACTATCTTGCTAAACATGTTAATAGATAAATTCCAGATCGAATAAGTTGAAAATATTATCTAACATATAATGTTTTGACTACTCTTCTCAACAATGTTGATATTTTAAGGTAGAATCTACAATCTTATTATGATTGCATCAGGAATATAAGACATCGGCTCGCATATGTCTCTTACTCAGATTAACTATCGAGAGTAGCGCCTTAGGGATCAAGTTCTACATGAGGACTCAGACCTTTGGAGGTGCACTCAAGTTCAAGGGAAAAACCAAGTGTACAGGGTTTTTTTTGTCAGAATCTTTGCAGGTGTTGCGTTGGCTGTACTTGATTGACAGTTTTTATTTTTACCAAACTACAAATGAAAACTTGACAAGTGTGCATTTGTAACGATTCTGACAAAAGTTTCCTACAAACCAATGTCCACCAATGACTAGTGACAGCAGTACTGAAATCTTCCTCGAGTATGTAGCCAAAACAAGTCGGTATCCACTCGGGACTATATAAATCCAATAATGCTACTTGCACATGATAGTTGACACAGGCTTTTGACAGCGCAGCACCTATATGGGTTTTTTTTTCTAACTGTTCAATGAAATGTTGTTACGTGTTTCCTTTTTTTTAACCTTGTCATCAACCCTGTCTATGTACATGATTGATATAAATCACATGCTTATCATAATTCCATATTACCTTATTCTATCTACCGTGTCTAACGAGGAAGCAAGTCTTATTTTTAAAAATGAGAAAATTTGATTCAATTTTTTTACTAGAAAAGTGAACCAAAAAAAAAAAAGACAACAATTGTCATGTGTTTTGTTATCATGTTATTTGACTATTTATAATTTAACAAGTTATACATACAAAAATCACTTTATGAATGATCATTCTAGAAGAAAGTGATTTTAACTATCTTTCTAGTTACTCTATTTGAGAATTCGAAAAAAAAAAGCATCTTATATAATAGGAATATCAATGAATCTAATTATTGCAATGGTCCATAATACCCAATTTTAGCTTCTTTGGTTCTTTTCATCCCTCGTGAGCTACTTATTTCTCTTAAACAAGATATCAAAATGATCTTCTTTCTTTTTCCAACAAGTTGGCCGTTGGGATACTTTTGTATAAATTGGCGTACATATATGATACACCGATCTTAAAACCTTTTTTTCAATATAAATTTCAAACTATTAGGATTATTGATTAGGATGTCGTTCTCCCGACATAAAACCAATTGGTTCCATAGTTTTGGAATTCTATCGACCCCAAGTACTCAATCTCCATCATTTCATATAGCAACATAGAAAGAAAGAGTAAAAAGGCATTACCGGAAGAATTGTATGAAATAAGTGAATTTATCCAATAGAAGCATTCTTGATTAAGAAGAAATTATTCACTCTAGAAAACTTAACTCCATCAAGCCTCTACAAGTAGTGAAAAAGTATGGCAGCATTATAGAGTGATCTCTACACGGAGATTAATAGAAATCTATCTTACTAGCCCACATACTTAATTCGTCCTTATGTAAATTGATCCATGTACCCCATTGATAAGTGCGTTTTCCAACACTTATTTGGCAACATAATATGACTAATTGTTGACACAAGCGTTTGAATATGGTTTAATTTTATCTAATTTCATTTTGTAGCATTATATTGATGGACTTCATGAAACATAAGAGAACAATGACAAAAAGGGACCAAAAAGGAGGACAACGAAAGTTCAGGGACCAAAATGCAAATAGCCAAAAGTTGACGCGAAGAATGAGATTAGATGACAAACGGACTAAGCTCTAATTTGATTTGTGCAAAGGATGTTAGAAGAAAGAAACTGAAGAAAAGAGGTCAAAATGAGAGAAAATGAAGTTCAGGGGCTAAAACGACACGCATGGTTGAAGTTTTGCGTGAGAATTTTTAGTTTCCTTTTTCGACTCAACCACCTATGGAAACGAATCTTGTGCACGTATTTGAGCCTAAAATTGTCCAAAACAAGGGCGGAATGCCATATGAGATAGAAGAACCCTAGAATACATCTTGAAGAAGATTGGGAGACAAGGATTTCAAGGCACAATAACAAGATTCTTGATTTTTTGAAGCTTAACTGTTATTTGGTGATGTCTTCTCTTACATTATTTTCGCATTTTATTATTTTCTTGATGTTAGGCTAGTTATATTTGTACTAGGAGAACGATGATCCTCGTTATGTGAACTTTTAATTCTTTATTTTGCAAATTTGACATTAGGACACGAATATTATATGTTGAATGATTTATATACACTCTAATGTCTCCATAATTAAATGCATGTGATTATGTGAGTTTGGGTGATCTATTTCATGCATTCGAAAGAAGGGAAGTAGATTCAATAATGTATAAATCATCGTAGGGTCCGATAGGGAACAAAAATATATCGCTATACTCTATGTGAATCTTTAAGTGTTTACAAAATATCATGTATTCTCACATATTTGCATTTTTCATAGAAATATAGTCAAATGGTATGCGAGAATAAGTTTAGTTCTACTCGAGAGAGATTGAATAGGTTAGAAACACTGATTCTTCAACTAAATTGTAAATTGTGAAATAAAGGTTAAAAGTGAACTTGATGGTAATTCGGGATTCTAGTACACTTTTCATATATTGATTTTTTCAAACTTTTGCATTCAAATATTATTTTGCATGTATTTAGTAACTTTAGTTTACATTGCATAATAGTTATAGTTAATCATAAAATCCATATAATCATCTTGAGTTAAATATATTTGGTTAAGGTTCTCAGTAGTAGAAATCAAATTAAGCCCTTGTTTGGCCTCCATTACATTACATTACATTACATTAAATTTTTCTTTCTTTTCATTTCAAGCACGCATTCATCAAATAAAATAATATTACACATAATTCAAAAAATTTCAACCACACATTCTCCCATCAATCACTATTCTAAAAATTTTCAACCCCCAAAAATGTAAAATAACGGGGGCCAAACAGAGGCTTACTAACATAATTGGAACCTAAACGACAATTGATTGATGGAGAAAGAAAGA